GGCGGCGGGAACGTTTCCCCCCGCCCTAATTGGCCACCGAGGCCGCCTTGAAGAAAGCGGCCGGGCGCCCGGGGTCCCGCCTGATGGGACGGTGCCCTTCGGCCAACGGCAAACTCCTTCGCTGAGGCTGCCGCCTTGGCCCTCCGCAACGAGTCGAGGGAGAGCAGCCCGCATGCTGGCAGCGAATCCGATTCCGAGCTTGGCTCAAACGGCGACCAAGGCGGCTCAACACAATTTGTTCCTCGCAAGCGAAAGCCACCACGGATGGTCGAGAAGGTGGGATGGACGTCGGAGGAGGACAGCGTCATCGAGCGGGCCTACAAGGCCATGGGTCCGCATTGGACTGACATTGCGGAGATGCTCCACGACGAGAGTGGAGAGCGCAGGAGTGGCGACTCGGTGCGCAACCGTTGGCTCCGGCTGCAGAAACGGGCAAAGCTCGCCCGCTCCGAGGACTCGGACTCGTCTCCAGTCGCTGCGAGCGCCGACCTCTCAGCGGGGGGGAGCGGAGAGCGCGGCGGTGACATGTGGTCATGGCGCGAGACCCAGACCATTGAGGAGGGCGTGCGGAAGGGACTCAAGTGGAAGGCCATCGCCGCACTGCTGCCAGGCCGCTCGGACAGCTCGTGCCGCAACCGCTGGCTCCGCAAGAAGCAGAAGGAGCTCGCGATGGCCGGCATCAACGTCCGCAACGCCGCCGAGGTGGTAGCTGCCTGCCGACGAGTCGGCCTGCTGGGCCCCTACAACCCGCAGGGCGCGGAGGCGAACGGGCCGAACACGTACAATTGCGTGCAGCGCACCTCGAGGCCATCGCAGATCTCGCCCCTCAGCCTGTACAAGGGCCCAACTGCCATCCTAACGTTGCCGTCCGCGCCGACGGCAATGCCCATTGTGCTGCCGGAGGCGCTTTCACTGCCGGTGCAAGGCATGCGCCCAAACGAGCTGCAGGTGCTGCACCCCCATCAGCTCGGGCAGCAGCAGACCGTGCTCTTTCCCGTCGCTGCACCGTCGCCGACCATCCCGGTCCTCTCGCCTCGGGTGTGGCGGTTCCCGCCGTCCGGCTTGTCGCCGACCGCCTGTTTGCCGGGCTGAGGGCAACGC